GTCAAGGCCCCTGAGTCTGTGATCATCGAGCAGGCTGGGTAATAAGCCACTGGAAGGCCTAGAGAGTTCCTGGTCCTCTCCAGGTCTGGGTTGTCTCATCTCTAAAGAGACCAGGAAATAGAGTGTCCCTGCTCCTGCCCAACAGAAGGATCCCTGGTGTCTCTTTAGAACGAGACATCAGCCCAATGAGGTAAAAAACGGTTGGAATTCGAAAGGAACTACCCTAGAAAGAGTGTGATTTGCCTGAGGTCACACAGTGGTGCAGAGTGATGAGTCAAAAAACACACTGGCTGTAGGTCCTGTCTAGGAGTAGAAAAAGCAATAACAAGCATGGGGAAGCTGGACACTGGATCTGCTCCTCCTTGCTCCATCGAATGGGAAGGGACAAAATGAGTACCAGGCTTACTGCAGCCTTCAGGGCTCCAGAGACTGATTTAATTGGGGTGGCAGGAGATGACAAATACAGACAACTCCAACAAAGCTGCAATCAGGTGGTCTGGGCTCTTGGATGAAGAAGCTGTGGCACCCTGGAAGCTCAACATGTTTATTATATACAGTTGAACACGGAGGCAAGTTTAGCCAATCTCTGTAGAGGCAGTGTCCAGGCCCTAAACAACTGGGAGAGAAAGCTACAGTGGGCATTTTCTGTACACACTAACAACATCCACACTCATACCAAACAAAGGAAGGCTTTGCCATCCCTCTGAGCCTCACCCAAGGGGAAGACTTTGCCATGTTCCCATGGGTCTGAGGCTTTGATCCTTGACAGGAGTGTTTCATGTCAACAACACACATCCACTAGAGTACTTCACACTCTCAGGGTTTTCTCTGCTCCTCACAATGGCTGAGCAGGGGGTCTGGAGTTCTGAGACACTGGACCTCTGACAAATACAGCCAACTCCAAGCATCCAGACTTGAGGGTCAAGCTATGGCATTAGAGATGAACAGGGCTGGACTCAAATCCTAGCTTCTGTTTCCTAGTTGTGTGACCTCAAGCAAGTAACTCCTCCTCTCTGACCCAGATCTATAAAGTAGTTAACAATGACACCAAAGAAGCTGCTTGTGGTAGATCCTGGGCACAGCTTGAGTTCTGAACATGGTGACTGTGATTCTTGAGGTGCCCTTCACAGCTGGACTGTGGGAGCCCTTTCTGACCTCCTCCCCAGCCCTTAGTACCAGCCCCTGCAGGATTGCATTTTAAGGAATCCACCAGCTCCTTGGTCTCCTCACTATGGCTGCTTTTACCCTGATACCACCAGTCACTCTTACCAGGGGACTGCCTGGTTACTACAAGGATGAGATCCAGAGAATCTGGATGGTCACAGGCCTGGAAATTACTCTCTACGAACCAACTGATAACATGCCTCGAGACTCTCTGTCAGTTTGTGGCAGATGGACAGATGCTGCAATGAACCTTTTGCCTGCTTCTTCCCAGGTGTGATGAGTCTCCCCGGTATGTGGCAGACACAGTCTCAGGTTTCATACAAGGGGACAGACTCAAAATCCTGGACAATAGAGGACTTTTACAAGATTGGTACCAGAGAACACCTGATCCTGAAGCTGGAGCTCAGGAATGGTCTCCAGTCTAGTGGTGCCTCCTTGGCTCAGCCCTGAACTTCAGATGATCTGCTTCTGTGAGCCTGGCTGTCAGTGTCTGAGCCTTCTCCCTTTCTGAGTATAGCTTCACGACTTTTGTCTCCATTTTCCTGTGATGCTGGCCTCACAGATCGTTCTTATAAGAGACCTACTCACTTTGAACCCCTATCTTGGGCTCCTAGAGCAGCATGAGCCTCAGGTGACTCTTTATCAGGAGGTGCCTGTGCAGCAGATTCTTGCTATTGGATCTCTGAGCTACCCATGCTGGCTAGAAGTTGACCTAGTGCTGGGCAGAGGACTCTGTGCTCAGTGGCTTGAAGGCACAATGGGATGTGTCCAGGGAGTATCTGGTGTACTTCTCCCACATGCTCAGTACTTGGCTCTTAGAAGTGATGCTTACCCTAAACCCCACCCCAAACTTAGTTTTAACTAATTAAATGAACTGCCCTTACGTAAAAAAAAAAAAAAAGAGTGTGTGTTCCCAAGAAGACATCATCCATGGCAGGGAAGTCTTCTTGCCAGCCCGTTATGCTTTTCATCACATAGTTCTCCTCACTCAGGAAATGTATAGAAAGTGATGTCTAGAGCAAAAAGAAGCTGGGCCACATCTGCCACATCGTCCCACCTCAGGACAATGGAAAAAGTGCACCCTGGGGGCCAAGCTCAGAGGCCTGAGCTGTCTCAGGGATGCTATTTCTGGGCAGACTGAGTCTGTGGGAGCCCAGGTGACTCTGAGACAGCCTTAGGCTGGAGTCTGCTATCTCTTCTGTAAAGCTAAAGGCCCTTGCCAGTCTCGCTCAAACAGAAGCTTGAGGCGGAGTCTACCTTCCTCCAGGCCCTGATTCCATGATTCTCCCTGGCCCCACTCAACTTCTTATTCCATTACAGGGCTCCTGCCTTCATAACCTCTGTTCCCTCTGTCAGAAATCTCCCTCTTCTTAATGTGGATATGTAACTTCTTGTGCTTCAGGCCTGATCAAATCCCTTCCAGAGGTCCCCTCTGCCCACTCTGAAACATCAGCCCTGCTCCTTTCACCCACCTTCTCCAGATTTCCCTATGGTTTCCCCACTACCTGACATCATAGCCCACACTTGTATGTGTGTGATACACAGACATGTGTGTGCAGGTGCGCACACCCAGGCGTGTTCATAAGGAGTCAGTGTCAGGTGTCTTCCCCTATTATTCTCCACCTTACTTTTGTTTGTTTGTTTTTTTGAGACAGGGTTTGTTTTGGAGCCTGTCCTGGAACTCATGCTGTAGACCAAGCTGGCCTCAAACTCACAAAGATCTGCCTTCCTCTGCCTTCCGAGTGCTGGGATTAAAGGTATGCACCACCAACTCCCAGCCTCTACCTTACTTTTTGAGACAATGTCTTTCCTTGAACTTGGCTCTCACGTTTTGGCTCGACTGTGGACCCTAGAGTTAGTCTGTCTGTGTTCCCCTCCCCATGCTGCATGTCCAGCTTTTATTTGAGTGCTGGGGATCTGAACTCAGATGCTCATGCTTGACCCATTCTTTACCCATGAGCCAATTCCTCATCCCTAGAGACTGCTCAACTCACTGCTCTCACCAGCCCTTGGGACAGCAGCAGCCAGTAAGAGTGAACAGCATTTATGTTTTCTGGGTGAATGAATGGATAGCTGAATTCTGGTTCCAGGCACCCATCTCTTGTGGTTATTTTTTGGAAGAATAAAAGAGCAGAGGGGAGGGGACAGGAACAGAAGGGTGTCCGGCAGTTAGGCATTATGGCTTGAATAAAGGTCTCCCAAAAGTTGTATGTTAAGTTTGATCCTTGGGCAGCATTACTGGGAATAGATGGAGTCTTGTGGAAGGCCCCAGTGGCACAACCTTGAAAGGGATCAGAGGAGCCCAGGTCTCTTCCCCTTTCCCTCTTTTTCTTCCTGGCCATGATGTGGCCATGAGAGTGGTTGTGACCTGCCACATACTCTCCTCCTGGTGTGCAGCCCTCCCCACAGGTCCCACACATTAGGGCTCCCACCTAGGGTTTCACTGAGGCGTTGAGCGAGTTGATGGTTTCATTGTGTACCTAGCTGTTTCTATGTGTCAAATGTGGGAGCAGGCAGTGGGCCTCAGAAGGTACCTGTCCTGCCTCTGACTTATTCAGTGATCTCCGCCAAGCAGGTTTATGTATCTTAGCCTCTATTCATCATCTACCAATGGGACAATCACAGAACTTCCCACCCCACTGGGCACCTAGAGGGTCTCACAAAATTTCAAGGACCCAGGCTATGCCTGGGCAGGAGGGCAAACCAAGCCACAGGAGCTGGGGAGAGGGGTGACAGTGGTGGGTAGGTCACCATGTAGATCTGCTTACCCAGAGCTCAAGGCAACTTTAAATAAGCCTCCCAAGGCCCTCCCTGACCAGAAGACTTCTCTCCCCAAATCCTCTCCCTGCAAAGGACCCCTATATAACCAGTCTCTGTAGGAGGAGTTTCAAAGGAGGAGGGTGACAAGGAGACTCACAGTATCCTCCCACCCCCAGGAGCTAGTTATCCAAGGATGAGTCCTGTACTGAAGGCAGCAGGAGGGAAAGGGCATGGCTACACACCTTCATGCCAAGCCTCAGGAAAAGGGCTCCCTGGAGCCTGCTTCCAGCCCTGGGGTCACCCTGGAAGAGCAAGTCCTCCAAGTCACTGAAGCCCAACTCACAGCATAGGAGAGAAACTCCAAGGATGGAACTGACCTCAACATCCAGCCTAAGCTTGACCAAACACTGTGGAATTCACTAACTGTTCTTTGATGGATTCCCAACGCTTAGCAAAAGTGGTAGATCAATGGTGAGCAGATAAACTCACCAATGAAGCAATGAATCTGAATTACTAATGGTGAAGTTCCCTGTGGGTCGGGGTAAATCACCAGGACCCCGACTAGAACGGAAGCCATGCAAACGCCTATGAACAAATGACTGAGTCGATCCCTGCATCAAGGACACCCTGAGAACTGACTTCTCTGAATCTGAAACAGATTCCTATCTGCTCTGAGGCTGCCCGTTCAGTGCCTAGAACAGTGCTCCCAGGACAGCCATGATGGTCAATGAATGTTCCCGGTCCAGCCCTCAGCACAAAGACCAATAGGAATAAAGTACAAAGGGACTACCATGCTGGATCCTCCCAGCCCCCCACCCTCCCCCCCAGCCACCACACTCCTCACCAGTATTTTTAAATAATTTGTGGGTTGTTTTTAATTGTTTATGCTGTAATACTTGGTTCATGAAACTGCAATATACAGAGAGGTGAAATAAATAGCTTATATATATAATATATATAATATAGCTGGTTTTAAAATATTCCCTTATCAT